CCCCAAAACCCCAAAACCCCAAAACCCCAAAACCCCAAAAGTTCATGAAGAAATAGAATAATAAAAATGTTTCCAAGGATAAAACGGAGAGTAACTTTCAAGTCTAACGACTCTACTGAGTAACTTCTTTTGTTTATTTGTAGAAACCTGAAGGAGAGCTTTAACCATGAAAGGATTTATGACAACATCGTTCTTAAATAAGGCATTTGTTGATGGCTTCGATAAAGAAGTAGAAGAAAAGAAGAAAGGCAAGACCAAAACGGATAAAATGCTGGAAAAACTTCATTTTGACCTAGAATATGTTAAGAATGTCTTCAGGATCCAACGGATCAGAGGGTCCTTTATGAGTAACGCTCTGTCTAATTCTCCAAAAAGAGTATGCAAATTTGGTTACTTTTTAGGCCAGAAGAAAATCTAGGAGAACAAAGGGATTTAAAAGTCATCAGGATCTGACTCTAACTTCGAGGAAAGAGAAGTCTCTTCTTCAATCTCAAAAAGGTATAGATTCATGGTTTACAAGGTACAATAGAGCTTGAGGAAGAAGACGAGGATAATAATAAGAAAAGACTGAAGTAAAATATCAGCCATTGCTCAAAGCAAGATTCTTCACACACAGGGATTTCTAGATAAAATTTATAGCCAGTGTGACAATGATCATTCCCCAGTAAGTCCATTTTAAACTTTAGGCAAAGCGGAAAAATAACCATAAGCTCCCATTCTTGTCCAAATAAGAAGCTGAAAGAAACCAGTGAGGATAATAATAGCGGCTTAATCCACAACGCCTTACTAGAAAACCTTGAAAAGAGCCCGAAAAATGTTGATTTTCAGTTAAAGACAAATACTTTAGATTACATCCCCAAAGAAAAGAAGAGAGGGAGTCAAAAGAAATAGCAAAAGATCTCTAAGCCCTCGTCCTTATTTATTAAGGTCTCCACGACCTTCAATGTAGTTTTACGCATTTTCCAATCTCAGTATCTGATTGGTGAATTTATGTTTGAGTCTAGTAACAATACAAGAAGAAAATTCGAAATTATATTTCAATTATTTATGAAATATTGGGGTTTTGGGGTTTTGGGGTTTTGGGGTTTTGGGG